TATATATATATACTTTTTTGTATCCCCGTACAAATGTTGATAAAAGAGGTTACCTGGAAAACATCATGAATTCTAGGAAAGAAGGAGTTGCCATCACCCAGCTGTGCAGGGAAGACCAGTGCCCGCCATCTTCAGGCATCGGTGGAAGGGCTTCCACGTATGATGGCAACGAATACATCCGACGGAAAGCATCCTGAAAGGCCGTTCTGCATGCAACAGAAGGAGAAGCAAAGTTCCATTTATATATGTTGCGATATTACTTCTGTTTCAAATATGATTAATTCCAACTAGCTTAGACCCTAGATTTCCCTCATTCCAGTTACAAGTTCCCATGTGTACTACAATTGGTTAAGGGTAGTAATGCAATCACTTAAACTGATTTTATTTTTTTAACAGGGAGCGTAATGTTAGACTAAAATCAAGAGGGGTTAATGGACCACATTTGAAAGTAGTTTATAATCCTATGTTTTATCACGCCAGATAAAAAACATTTGTTGGATGTGCTGAGGTCGAGAACACCCGATTATAGCTACCAAAATAACATATTTGATGCTTCAACCAAAATCGGCACTCTCAAATAATGTTATCATATACTCCCTCTGTCCCAAAATAAATGGCAACATTTCTCTGTTTGGTAAGATTTCAATCCTGAATTACCTCTGTCCATTAGTAAGCTTTACAAATTATAGTTATTATTGATTTTGGTCCACAATAGTCCCTATTTTGCCATTATTTAGGGGTAGTTTAGATATTTTAGTTAATAGTCAAACACTCGACATATCATGTGTCAAAGCCAAATGTACATAATGGCTTTTACAGATCGATGTACCGCTAGAATTATTGCTCTATTTTAACATCAGGTTTTGCAACTCTTGATCAGATTGAAGTTGGCAGACTTCAAAATGTAACCAAAAAATGCAGGCAAGTGATTGGAGTTCTCATTGTTTCAGTGAGAAAACTGATCTGGGAAGAACCTGGGTCGAAACCACAAGCTACCTAAGGGGTCGTTTACCAAACGCTTACCAACTCACATTACCTTACCGGATGAATATAGCAAGGACCAAGAATCTTACCCTGTAAGGCGAGAAGAGTGAGGCAAGCACCGAGAGTCTTACCCGGTAAGTGAGGGTGACGACTCTTATCATGGTTAGCGCTTACCGTGTAAATTGTTGCACATGATGCTGTTTTGGTGGACTAAGATCTTACCCGGTAAGTAAGTGATCGTGTTGAATTTTACCGGTAAGCGCTTGCCGGGTAAGTGTTTGGTAAACGGCCCCTAAGACTTGTTAAACTCTCCAAGTTTCTAGATTAACCATATCAGACTAAAATAGCCCCGTCTCTCTCAAGAACATATTTAATAGTGTGATTGAAGAAGTTCCTAGTTTGCTTCACACTTTTTAAACATGCTTTATAATGGCCATTTCCTGAATGATAAGCTACATATCAAATTATTGATCATTCTCCTCATCAAAATAGAAATCAAGAGTGTCGACATGTACCTGCAATTTCCCGCATTTAAGACATCACACAGAGACCAAAACGTTAGAACATGGTTGCTTCCTGTAAGTTTGCCACCCATGTCTGCGCGTGCCCAAAAATATATTACGTCTCCTCTATGTTTCTGGTGCACTGTTCCTTCTAGAACCCTTTCAGCTTTGGAGGATAAAGATACCTGAAACAAATACAAAAAGATTCACATGCAAATGCACATGGCCATAATCTAAAGGATTGGCAGAGCAAAACATCATTTTGGAGTGAAGATCAAGATTAAAATTAACCATACTGTCAAAATCTCATTCCTCCAAATGACAATTGACAAAGGCAATAATGTGACGGAAATCAGGGGCAAGTAAGCAGTAGCACACAAGAGGATATACTGAAACCCACAAATTATATGACCTACCTTCCTCGCAGCAGCGCGCCACGATTGAAATCCAATCCAAGGTCGCTTGTGAACATTATCCACCCTATTTGCAATAGAAAACATGCCCCCCATCTCAAGAAGGATATCTCGGTAGTAAGTCTCATTCAAAATGGAAAGCCTCCCAACTGCATCCACATCATCTGATCTCAATCTTCGAGATTTTGTGGACTGAAGAACGTACAAAACTAAAACCATGAATAAGAGAGGAAAGGGCTGATTACGAAGAGCAAGAAAGCATATATAATAAATCCAACTAAAATAGTTTCAAGAAAAAAATCTAGAAGTAACAACACTATATGTGTCTAAGAATTGCAGAGTAACTTACTAGACTTAACCCACGATACAAAGAACCATGGTGCAGAAAGGGCCAAGCGCCGGCTCCATTGTATATCTCGTATATGCATAGAGGCTGGCCTGTCCTCTCTAGCTCTCCTTCATCCCTTTCATTTGCTTCAAATTTTAGCTTTTCGACTTTTTTAGCATCACGATATAATTCCTCCCATACACCATAACTTTTATCTGTTCTCCCCTCGATCTACATGGTACGAAAAGTGATATCTTGCTTAGATATATTGCCATTAAGGCAAAGAAAATCATGACAAAATGAAGAAGGGCTAGACCCAAGAAAAAGTCATGTTTGCAGGAAGGACCATACCTCTTCCAATTCTACTCTCTCAACTTCTTCTGAACTATCTATTTCACTTAAAACATCCCAGTCAAGTTCAGTTGGAATATCATCTGCCATGATCTCAGATTCATTCTGAGAGGTTGTTCTTGAATTTGGTAGCAACATCATATGTTCCTCAATATCATAAACGACACTAGGATTTTTTGTAGCTTCCTTCGTATCCAAATTTGTCATGGCACTGGACCAGTGGTCTGTTTCCTCCGAGAACAATTCCCATTCCCATTCTCCCTGTTTTAGTTGAGAAACGGGTCCTGGCAACATTGAATCTGATGGAAGTGTAAGGACATTGTCGAGAAGTTTCACATAACCAGCAATGCATTCTGATGCCTGCATGTTCTTAGCAAGCATCCTCCCCGAGGAAGCAATAGTATGGGCAAAATCTGATAGTCTTCCTTTTGATACCAGAAGCAAGAATGCTTTCATCAACTCATCCGGCTTATCTTTTGAAAAAATAATTCCATGTTCTCCATCAACAACCTGGATTGAAAGATCTTTTATGGTAAAGAATACCATTTTAACCTCATCTAACCTACATATACAGCAAAATAAAGGGAAAAAAATATTAACTTACATGTTTTCTTATGATGGGATAATCAGGGGCAATCACAGGGACGCCAAATGTCATGGCTCTGGTAAGTAATGAAGGAAAGCCTTGCTCATCTTGAGAGGAACCATAAAGAACAATATCAGCTATCAATAACATCTCATCCACATCACCATCCAAACCATAGTGTCCAACAGAATCACGACGAAGACCCAGATGACCAGCAATATCCTGTCAACATAACATCACCCAAGGTAAGAAGCATGGATCCATTAGAAACTTCCTCGGCTATCTTTTACTTCTCCGACTCATTATTTTGCCTTATCTTATACACAAATTTTAAGTACTGTTACACATTGCATTCTTAAGACTAAACTCACATCCCACTTACATGTCTGCATATGCCACATGTAGTTGGCAATTACAAAGTCAACATGCTAGGAATTACCTAGTTTTGCATAGAGTATTGTCTTGGCGCATAAGCATGTAGATCAATTGCGATTCATATACACTTGCCACTATGTATTCAACTGATGTACATGGAAATGAGTCACCTCTAGGGGTCTTCATGAATAATTAAGCCCATAAAATAATTGCGATTCATATACCTTTAATCAATCTATTTACATGCTTGATGTGATAAAAGTTAATAGTATTTTTATGATGACAGCAAACTTTGTATGGAGCATTACAAGTAGAAATTTGGCATTGTTTAAACTCATAAAATAATCAATATGAAAAGTGCTAGCTTCTTATACAGTGATATACAGTGAAGTAAAAAGTGTATCCTTTTTTGGAATGGAAGCAGTATTCATCAAATACATTATAGTTGCTTCAAACCACATTCTTTTACATACGTCGCTCAAGCATCCAGTTCAACACATATTTGAAAAGGTCTTGCAAGAGAACTTTCAAAGTGAATTGCATAGCTTCCTAATATCTTAAAGCAATATCATGTCTAGTTTTATTTATATTTCAATGGTAAGGAATTCAATTAAGATCAAGAAAATGAAACCCACTTTATTTCCCCTTTCTAGGTGTATCAATTGCTACCATCTTTTTGGATATCAGATTCCGGATTCTAGAGAAATGATAAACTATAACTTTTCTCAAACACAAATACATTAGAATATTACTAGATGCAATATATATCTTCTCCCAAATCTCAAGGATCTTATTAATAGTAAACCGAGATTGCAGACAATAACCACCCAAAAAAGCTTATTAATTTTTTGTGAGAAGTTGATCCATATATATCATACAAAACAATGAAAGAACCCAAAAACTTGCCAATCAAATTGTACCTGTAACGCATCATTATACGCACTACTGGAGTTCCCACATACAAATACAAATTTGAATGATGGCCCAATGTCTCCTTCCCTTGCATAATGGATCAGCAGAGGTCCTAAGTTATGCATTGCCACTGCATAATCCCATGACAGTTCATTGTAGAAGAAAGAACTTCCAACAACCAAAATCAGCATATCATCTTCGCCAAAACCATTTTTTATCCTCATTTGAGATTTGGAGTGGGCTTTTAGGTATCTTTCGGCTGCCCACACATCTATTGGTGATCCAGGAATCACAAAGAAGTTTCCAGTGTCAAGCACACTATATAGCATCTGGTACATGCATAAATCATAATTGAGAAATAACGTAAGAATGCCTAAACTATACCAATTCATATCCGTGTTGCAACAATGACAATATCAATCTAGGATAGGGAATATACCGGGAAAGAAAAATCCGGAAACACGACCACATCAGCCCTTCTAAAAGCATTCTTCCAATATGCAATTAGATGTTCCCATCCCATTTCTTCATATAGAGGAAGGCGATTTGCAAGTGTATCTTCTTGAACTATCCAGATAAGTTGCACAGAGCAAAAGGGCTCCTGCATAAGGCTGCATAAATATAAAACTCACAAATCCTAGCATCTCCAATAAAGAAAACAAAATGGTGTCTGCTTTCATTAGTTCAGAAAACTTTTTGTAGTTAGATGTGATCACTTCAGTTGCTATTGGAAGGTATTGGCAAGACCAACATTAACTGGGATCGTTATACTGTCCACAATGAAGAATCTTTGTCGGTCTGTCCACATGGCAACATAATAGCTAACCAGAAACCCAGATAAATGACAAAATAAAATCACAGATGAAGCAAGCTTCATTTTCACTTCACTCGGGTTGTAGTTTTGGACCTTTCTACCCTTGAACAGAGAATGTGGACATTCTACCATAGAATACTGTTTACATGTCAGTGTGCATCAAAATTCTTGAAAATCACATTCTACTTGTGTATTCCACACACTAAATCATACTTTTGGTGATTTATTCGACGAAGAGTGTTGTCCAGAGATAGACGGTGTAATTAGTTCACAACAAAACTTAACTCATCTTTCAAGTTACTACAGGAAGTGCATGAGGATCAGCATACAATTGAATATGTAAACATCGCGTGGACAAAATTACAACAAAAATTTAGTAATTATTATTTATATCAACTACCCATACCTTGAAACAGCATCATTTGCTTCTAGAGAATCTACAACAATGCCATCAAATCTGCAGCAATAGAGAACATAATTTAACTTAATTTGTATTCAAGGTAAAGAGAACTATTTGGGACGGAGGGAAGAGCATGAATAAACTACAGGTTCCTACTGTAAATATCTATGAAGTGGTTGTTGGCTATGCTCTTGCATCAACTACAATAATATAGCAAACTGTTGAAAAATGCATTGAAAGAGAGAGCAGACGTACATTGACCAATCAATATGACCATATTTTTCAGGACTTAAAATTGAGACTTGGCCAACAATTTTCTCCCAAAGTGATTTTGTTTTGCCATCCTCTGTCGCATATATCTGCATGGAAGAAGCATTGAGAAGAGGGAAAATGAAGGCATTTCGGATACCTAATTCCCCAAGGTTCTTAACAATAAATGGACAAACTAGTACAAAAAATTTATATTTAGTCAAGCACTAACCACAAGTATAATTTCTTTGCTTCTTAACTGGGGCATATGCAATATTCATAAATCAACAAGAAATTTGGATTGATGTAGTTGCATATTACTACCAAGGAAATCACTTCAATATCTTATCAATCTAACATTAGATTACTTCATAGTCCATACAGAACACTTAATTGTTCATAATAGATTTGAGAGAAAAAAAGATAGCACTTCATGTTGTTTGTATGGCTCAAAATAACAAAATTACACACATAGAAAAACATAAACCTGTCATCACATGAACAGTTGGATATACAGGGAGCTAATAAGAGGTACTGGAGTTTCAGAAATCACCTGAAGCATATAACCCAACCCACGTAAATTTTTCATCACAGTAAGGAGCATCAACGACGCTGGATCGCTCTTCATGTTTCCTAAGATCTTACAATCATCAAAACAAGGCACTGTTGTAAATATGAGATCATGAGTGTTCATGCATATATACACTTATTTGTTGAAACACAAAATATGTGTAGTGGACCAGAATACATAAGCCGAGGTGGAAGCAAAATTCTCAATAAACCAAACCAAACCAAACGAACCCACTGAATCCCATGTGAAGTGAGGTCTAAGGAAGGTAAGATGTACAAAGCCATTCCTCTACCCCAAGGGGTAAAGAGACCATTTCCGTGAAGATACCCAGCTTGCGAACAGTTTTTGCAAAGAGTCTGACAAATGCAAGAAAACTTGAAGCATACTTGGGAAATGAAATACACACATGAAATAAGATTAAACGAGTAGAGCAAGTATGCACAGTCAATGCCATGAAATAGGATTAGAAAAAGCAGAAGCAACAAAACCAATAGGAGAAGTATTAGTCAACTAGGCAACCTAATACGAATGACCCAATAGACCCCTCCCACCAAACATGCACAAAAGCTACTCTGGTTATCCCACCATCTACCCTAGGACTTAGATGCCAGCTGTGCTCTCTAACCCTTCCCAACCGACCTGCTACTACTCCCCCAACCACAATGACCACAGGCTTTAAACAAAATATGCTACCCTATTCTTGCATTTGAGCATCTCCACAAACTCATATATGAGGCCGTGACTTCAGAAATGCCTAAAGCCTTGATGTACAGTCTTACCTGTTCCTCCCATGTCCTCATACAAAAATGTCTAACTCGAGGACGACGCTAAGTAATCTCTTAGTAGTTGAAACAATGCCAAATAGAAATCTAGTAGTATCAGTCACTAGATTCACAATTGTAAAGTAAACATGGTAAAAGATCCCCAGACAATGAAGCCTGGAAGAATGTAGCCAGCTATTACATCCATCTTGAGCATTTCCGGTTCTCATCTGAAGAAAGATATATTACTCCCAAAGTAAGTCTTTACTCCAGAAAGGGACAAAAATAAGGAAACAGGTCAGTCATCTACCAATTCTTAACTAAATGATATTTCTTGTGGTGTAAAATATACAATATATCTTATTTAGACACCAGAGCTGCCTTCTAGTTTAAAGGAATTCCAAGACATCCTATCTTACATTTCAACTAAAAGAACTCCACCATTACAGCTCCTATAAGACTATATACTTGAACTCTATCACCGTGAGTCTGGAGGTCTACTATACACAGCCTCAACACTGATTGCATGGAAGCTCTCTGTGCTCCGAGCTCATAAATATTCAGGTCAAGATGGACAAAATTACTTCTGGACCAAAACCAACACCCTTATTCATATTTGAGATATAAGAGTTATACAGGATTGAAAATTAAAAAAGAGAACTTAAACACTCACAATTGCAAGCCTGGGTGATCGAACTCCAATTCGAGGCTGGTTCCTTGCACGTTCAATTAAACCCCTGCCAGTCCTCGACGAAACGAACTTCAACGAACTCCCAAACTTCAAGCCCTCACGCACAGTCCTCCCAATCCTCTCACCGCTACCCTGCCGGAAAACCATTGAAGCAATCGAGCTCTGCAACACCATCGACGCTAGCGCAAACGCAAACACGGCAATCAATATACACAAGTAAAACAACGACGTCCCTCTCACTGAAAACAGCTTCCGAGAGAGAACGGATCGGCTTCCGTGGATGTGAGATCGGCGCCGATCCGATAAGCTGGCTGCAGAAGATGATTTGGATACATGTACAGAGGTAGGTTTAGGGTTTCTCTTGAACCGGAACCGGTCCCGGATCGGATATAAGCCGGTGCCGGCGGAGTTGGCATTGGAGTTGTCGCCGTCGTTTGTACTGGGCGAGTTCTGGCCCATGTTTCAGAAATCTAACCGAGCAAACTCAGTTTTAACATCGAATCTTGATTGAAACAAAACAATGGTGAATCTGATTGAAGGATGTGATTTCACAGTCACACACACACACACACAAGAGTTCTCTTCTGTTGGGGTAGTTATGATTATTATAGATACAGTGTACGTATATGTATAGTCTTGTTGGTTTCGAGAGTGACGGTGATGAGATCTGATTTGTGATTTTGCTTTTTTTGGGTTTAAACGCGTTTTTGAGATGGGCTAAAATCAGCATTTTCTATTTTTACTGGGGTCAAATGTGTGCAAAATGTTCCCAACAAAGTTACCTTCCCTACAAATGTACGCGGTATATTATTAAATGCAATTTTATTTTTATTAATTTTTTTTTAGTATATAGTATTTATATACGTCAAATACAACAAATAAACTCACATACCTTCTTCACCTTTGGTGAGGTTTGAACTTTTGACCTCGTAAGAGGTTAAAGGCTACAATACTGCTAGACCTAATTTTTTTCTTATTCATCAATCTCATTTACCTATTTTTATCATTATGACTAGGAGTGAACACAGGTTGGATTGGATGGTTTATGACATTTTCACAACCCAACCTAATTATAGCGGTTTGAGAAATCTCAACTCAACCCAACTCATTTAAAAGTATAACCCAACCCTTGCGGGTTAGGACGGGTTGGATTGGGTTGACGGGTTACTAAAATTCATAAAAATGGCAATTGAAATATGATAAATAATACTAAAAATATACCCAACAAAGTCATTAGTTATTACAATCATCCAAAAATATATCTAAATCCTCAAGTCTTGGAATCAAATTGCAAAAGTTTGATACGAGCAACAGACTTCTCATTTCCATGTGTCAAAGTATGTGTCCTTGGGAAGATGGTCATAATTATTCTTGAACATTGAGAGTTGTCGAAAGCCAGAAACATAACTTTTAGTTTCTGCAACATGTCATCCTTTCAACCCCTATAAGTAACACAAAACAGGTTATAAATCTTGATTTACAAATATCACCTTATGACTATTAGCTTTCTAATTTTATTAACTCTATGGACAATTTAATAATTCATGGTATTTCAAAACTTTGTATCATTATCAACAGATTTGGACACTTGGTCAACAAAATGATGATTATAGCTTTGTCAATTATCTTTTTACTAATATTGGATATGTTTACTAATATTCTAGCAACAATATACATGGAACTTACTAAGGAATATGTCTTTTCATGTGAAGAATTCTATAATTCACTGAAAGAATCCTTATGTCATCTCGTTGTACACTGCTTTTCTGCAAAAGTTGGTGCAATAAGAGATTAGGAGTTGCACGTAACATTATTCAACCAAAGAGTTCAAAATAAATAAGAACAATTTACCGCTAAAAACCACAAAAGAAGAACTATGCATCCCATAGCCTAAATGTAACTTACCTAATTTGGTACGATTTAAATACTCAACCAAGTACGGCCCTTTTTGACTTTCCCGAATCCTATGTTGCATTCTCCTTGAGCTTGTCTACAATACAAAAAGAATATTAAACAATTTATTAATAATATATAACTATATAAACATGGAAAAAAAACCAGCGTTAAGTTTACTTTCTTAAGAAGGTCATAAGGGTTTAAGACCTTAAGGGTTATAAGCAATCCAAATTCCCAAACACCTCCTTAATTTTTGTAAATATCTCACACACACACACACACACACACATATATATATATATACACACATAATTTTATATAAAAAAAATATACATTAGAGGTGGGTTGGTAGTTTGGATTGGGTTAAGTTATGCTAACCCAATTTCAACCCTCCTAATTAGTGGTTTGGCGGTTTGACTGGTTGGGTTTAATTGGGTTGTTAGCGGGTTGGGATGGTTGGACGGGTTTCACGGATTGATGGTTTTTTGTTCACCCCTAATCATGACCAACTTTTAACAAATTAATGCATATGAAAATGTTAACTATATGTAACAAAATTGTCAAAAAAAACTATATATAGGAGTTTACGGAAGTTGCTAAAGTGAAGATAATGTAGTTAAACTTAAATGAAGTTAAATCAAGAAGTCAAACTTATCCAAATGATTAAAATGTTATAACTATTTTTACCATAATTGCTATTCGTACATGATCTTTAATCTCTCTCTCTCTCTCTATATATATATATAGGGGCCTAATCAAACGAAAACCAATTAGTTTGTGTTAACCGTGAGATCCAATCTTAACCACAAATCAATAGATAAATTAGAAAATTTATAATTTTGGTAATTTTGAATTAAAATTTTAATGCAAGGATATTTTTGGTATGTTACAACTTTCCTCCCTCCTCTCTTCTCTCTCCGGCCACCGTCCGCCGGCCACCGTCCTCCGATGATACTACAATGGTATCACAATGCACCATATATGTGTTTGGGTATTACATTGATGTCGTTTGTGTGGTCGATCGAAGATGTAACACTGTGGTATCACTATGCATCTTATATATGATTATGTATCACAATGTATCTTTTGTTTAACAGAGTCAATATTTTTAGGTATCGCAATGGTATCATAGTGGTATCACCGGAGGACGGTGGCCGGAGGCCGGAGAACGGTGACCGAAGAGAGAAGAGATGAGAGAGGAGAGTTTTAAAATACCAAAAATATCCTTGCATTAAGATTTTAATTTAAAATTACCAAATTTATAAATTTCCTAATTTATCTATTGATTTGTGGTTAATATTGGTTCTCACAGCTACCACAAACAACTCAGTTCTCCCTTGAATAGGTCTATATATATATATATATATATATATATATCTAATCAAACGAGAACCAATTAGTTTGTGTTAACCGTGAGATCCAATCTTAACCACAAAACAATAGATAAATTAGAAAATTTATAATTTTAGTAATTTTAATGTAATGATATTTTTGGTATTTTAAAACTCTCCTCTCTCCTCAGTCCTCTCTTCTCTCTTCGGCCACCGTCCTCCGGTGATACCACAATGGTATCACAATGCATCATATATGTGCTTGGGTATCACATTGAGGTCGTTTGTGTGATCGATCGGAGATGTAACACAGTGATATCACAATGCATCTTATATATGATTGGGTATCACAATGTATCTTTTATTTAACATAGTCAATATTTTTAGGTATCACAGTGGTATTATCGGAGGATGGTGGCCGGAGGACGGAGGACGGTGGCCGGAGGACGGAGGACGGAGAGAGAAGAGAGGAGAGAAAATACCTAAAATGTCATTGCATTACAATTTTAATTCAAAATTACCAAAATTATAAATTTCCTGATTTATCTATTGATTTGTGGTTGAGATTGGATCTCACGGTTACCACAAACTATTCAGTTCTTTCTTGAATGAACCCCTATATATATATAGTCTCATTTTACAAACCTAATAATTCGTTTGAATCAAAAATCGATTTTCATGTATTATTTCATATCCGAAACAGAACGTGTGAAAATGTAATGTTTATACAGTGATGTTTTACATGTAAACATTCAAGATTATTTTTTCTACACACAGGACAATCATATGATCGTTTCACATATTAAAGAACATTGTATAAACATTGCATTTTCACACGTATTGTTTCCTATGTAAAATTGGTTTTATAAGTTTATATAACTTATTGGGTTTGTAAATGATCGTGTATGCATGTGTGCGCGAGAGTTTGTAGAGAGAGAGGGGTCACGTTATCCCTCAGAGAGGGTGAGATGAACGTCTGCCCAAGGCCCAAAAATATTAGGGGCCCAAGATCTTATTTAAATGTACAACCAATCATTCCTTAAGCTTTTAGATGACATGTCTCATGTATTCTATGTTTTATTGGATCTCAACTAATCATCTTTTCTTTCACTTGTCACCAATCATCTGTCTTTTTATCTAAAAAACCCTGATAATTTTCTTTTGTCAAAAAAAACCCTGTATCAGAATAACACATTTTTATTGTTATAACTTAAGCAAATTCATACCTTCGAAAAATTACGAACCAAAGTAGATGGTCAAACTCATATCTATATTTTAAAATTCCAAAATTACCCTTGTTTTTTCCATGCGTTTCTTGATTATTAATTATTAGTTTGCTCCATGAATTATGAGAATTTATTGTATTCCATACTTTGAATAGCAACAACGTTTGTTAAAAAAAAAAATCATACTCATCCAGGGCCCTTGGCTTTACATATTCCCGGGGCTTATCAAATGTTGGGAACGGACATAGAGTACGCCATGTATTCATATTTATCGTGAGTTTGAATGTGAATTATTTGTAACATTCATTATGAATACTAAGTATATTACAATATTCATGATGAATGCTAAGTATATTACAATATTCATGATGAATCTATTGTTTATTCATATAGACATCTGACACGCCTTCGATGATTTCTCACCTTTCTATAAAACCAAGATTTCTAAGTTCTAATAAAACTTGTCCATATAAATACATATCTATGAGAAACCATATTCTCTATGAAATGAATATTTATAGTGTGTTTGAGATTGCTTATAAAAAAAACTTATTGACTTATTCCGATATAACACCGGTAATAAACATTTTTTAGTGTTTGGATAAACAACTTATACCGGTGTCAAACCGGTAACAAGAAGTTTTTAAATAAGTTAACCTTTTTGACTTATAATAAGTTGATAAGTGCTTTTATAGAAAAGAATAAGTTGTTTCAAATAAACAATCTCAAACACCAGTTTAATTACTAACATAAATTGTTATTTGTGTTAATATTATTTATATATTTCAATCATGACCTTATTGTATTTTGTTGTAAACTACGTAATTAATATTATTGTAATATTTTAAATATATAAAAAATATATTTTCATTAAAATATATAAATATAAAATCATAAAATTCCAATAAATGGGAAAAATGTACCCCGATTGTTTTCCATTTGTCAACGTCTTTATGCAAATTCGTTTTTAAGTAAGATGTAACCATCGATTTGACAACTAATAAATAATCAAATATTTAATACATTTTTTTTCCAAGACACAATTAAAATAGTAAAAATGTCACACATCATGAACATGATGTATATATGCATGTATATTACATTTTAATTATTTAAGAA